CTCATAAGACGATCCCACTGATGATCAGCTTCTAGTGATAGACAATGATTTAATCCAGTCTGCCATATCCCTAAGAAGCTTGAAATGTATCTATATAGACTTGTTATTTGCAAGCTTCCTGTCTTAGTGTTACCCGTATAGAGCTAATCAGGTCTGAAATGATCAAACAAAGCCCGATAGAAGAGAACTACATTTTGGCATCGCAATAATATAGAAACTTTATTTGCAAAATCATGCCCGATGGCTAATTGCTTTTACAATCAAGTATAATACTCATTGCAATACAGTAATAGACGACAGGCAACAACTGTCTGGAAAAACTTCTATTTCTACTACTAAGCTAGCTATTATGGGGTTTGAATTCTTCTTTGAAGGCAGTGGATAATATATCATCAGGTGCTCTTGGTAAGGAGGCAATTAATTTTCTTTATCGTCCATGACAGTCATTCTCTTAATTTCTGGCACATTTTTGGATGGATGTGCATACGGTTGTCTTCAATCGACCCCCATCAAAAGAACAGTGCACCCCGCTGGTTTGCCTATATAATATATTTAATATTTGTAATATTTGCTACCAGTAATCCCAGTCTCTCACGTGTGTGTCTTTTCACATTCTACTCACTGCAACATGGGGGCTTTGGTAATTGCATTTTGCGAGCTGGTAACTCGAACATTCATATTCGATGACACCTGGCTTTCCCAACGGCTTCTACCCTCCTTGAAACTCCAGTTGCAATTGTACTAGTAGTTAGGCCACACCACGCATTGATTTTTGCCTGTTCCCAACAACAACAAAAAAAGATCACGCCCTCCGAGGCACTGGGTTGGCTCTAGGCCTGGTAGTTAGCGACAATACGGTGTTAACTTTGGAGGATGGCACCCAGGCTGCCGAAGCTCCACGACTCAAGAACTCAGTACATACATACGTACAGTGCCGATTCATAAATTCCGCAAAAAGCCAGCATGCACGGCTGGTCGTATACGTCGCTATGTACTGCCGCAAATTCACAATACCAGCTTTGCATTCCTGTGCTTTGGTAGCATTTTTATTTTTGGCCCGAATTTTTTTATTCGCCCGCGCGCACTAGTTTGGGGGTCTTCAGAGAATGTCATCCATAAAATTAAGTCGGTGTGGCCTAATATTTGCTACCAGTAATCCTAGTCTCCAACATGTTTATCTTTTCACATTCTACTCACTGCGAGGTGGAGACTTTGGAAATTGCATTTTGCGAGCTGGTAACACGAGTATTCATGTTCGATGACACGTGGCTTTCCCAACGCCTTCTACATCAACGGATTCTCTTTGAAAATCCAGTTGCAATTGTACTAGCAGTTCATCCGGCCACAATGATGTTAATACATCTTGCTTATAGGGACTAGAATGCCTGTCATCAGTATACTTTGTGTACCCGTGGCGTGTTTTATGCCCGAGCTTTTCTTGGCTCTCTTTCTTGATGTATTCCCGCTAATTGGAATGACCTCGTGGAGTCAGAAAGATTTGGAAGATGAAACTTTCATTTTCGTAAATCATTCATTTTGTAGCTCTGCTCTAAAAATGATGACGTCCCCCGAGGCTCTGGCCTGGCTCTATGCCTGGCTAGACCATGGTAGCAACAATACGGAGGTGGTAACTCTGGAGGATGGCACCCCCCAGGCTGCCGAAGCTCCACTACTCAAGAACTCAGTACATACTCCAAGTGCCGAATCATAAATTTCGCAAAAAGCCAGCATGTCGTATACGTCGCTATGTACTGCCGCAAATTCACAATACCAGCTTTGTATTACCGTGGTTAAGTAAAATTTTTATTTTTGGCCGGATTTTTTTTTCATTCGCCTGCGCGCCCTAGTTTGAGGGGTCTTTAGAGGATATCCATAAAAGTCAGTATAAGTGACCTAATGATAAATCATGGCTATGATGCACCATGCATGGGTTAATAGGAAATGTCTAATGCAGAAGAAGACCAATTTCTCATCCGTAAATAATTTCATCAGGTTGGTAAACGAATGAATAGCAAAGTTCTTTGATCACAACCATTTATTTTTCACGAGCCAACATTTTGATGACCGTCTGTCATCTTCATCAGGACAATTCTCACTGGTTTACTATGCACTGATGCTAGATGTTACTTGGTGCATATAGTTTAATAAGGGTGTTACATAGTTCACATGTAACACTATGTAACACCCTTCGTGCAATATGCACCAAGTAACATCTAGCGTCAGTGCACAATAAACCAGTCAGAATTGCTCTGATGAAGATGACAGACGGTCATCGAAACGTCGGCTCGTGAAAAATAAATGGTTGTGATCAAAGAACTTTGCTACTCAAGACCAGTGTCTGTTTCGCTATTCTTGCGTATGTGCTGTACTTCTCCGTAAAAATGTAAACTGTATCATTCTGTACATCTGTATTGATATAGCCGGTATAACCGCCCTTCGGCGTTACACACCAGCATAGCCTATTCTGGAACGTAAAACAGGCTGTCCTCAAGACCATGGTACAGTTGCTTTACAAATCGAATTCGAGCTCAAAATACAAAATATTTCATCCCCCAATATAATTTTTCCGCACCAAGAAGTTATAGACGGGACCATTTGAACATCGTTTGGTATATTTGTTTGTTTGTTTGTTTGTTTGTCTGTTTTTCATTACAAAATGTACGGTTTCCATTCCACATGTTTATGTTTATTAGGAACTCCATTCGTGAAAAAAATCAGTTCCTTGGAGTACTGTACACTTAGATAACATCCTCATAAATACCACATAGAATTCCATTGTCATTACTTGATAAGTACAATATATACAACACTAAAATGTAACAACTACACACTATTTGCTTGATAGCTACAATATATACACCGCTACAGTATAACCGTTGAACACATGATTACAAACAGTTAATGATACACACCAACACAACACACGCCTAGCGCAAAGGGTAGGCTTCAAACTCATAAGGCCAAAAACAGCCTCAGCCAACCGAACATTTCTGTACCGTTGCACCAAATCGTATAACGCACTTCCACAACACATCAGAATATCCGCACCTACATCGGGAATGGTTGAAAGCTGTGATAGATACCAAACCCTTACAATCTTGGTGGTAGAAGTAATGTCGACAAAGTGTAAATATGAATTTTAATTCTATAATACGTAAGACCTCTGACCTCTCGGTACAACTTGCATGTTGTGTGTGTTCAAGTATATATACGTAGTATGTAGTTTGGCCTTGCCATGTTGTAATGTTAGTAGTATGTGGTTAAGCCTCATCACATCGAAGTAGTACATGTAAATGTGTATAACGACTCCAGGAAGATTAGTATGTATGGAAACTCAGTCTGTACAAACTAATGGAGATCGGATTAATAAACAATAAACAATACTGACCGGTTGATGCCGACGTTGGTAACGCTGACCAGGGAACAGATGCAGCTGGTGACACAAACCACACCAACCAGCTCACACACCAGAGGGTGGTCCACTAGGAAGCTCTGCAAATAAGAGATATATTAGGATACATTAGGAGATAGGAGCATACAAAAGAGAATTTGCGAGGGCCATAGGCTATCCTCTGGCCTCCAAGTTAGACCCCCTTTCCCATAGACGAAATGTTGCCTCTCTATCTCTATTTTACAGATATTTTCATGGTCATTGCTCTGAGAACTCACCCAACTAGTTCCACCACTCAGAACTTTTAAGCGTTCCACTAGCTCACACAACTTCACCGTCCAAATTCCTAGTTCGAAATATTTTTACAGTGACAGTTTCTTTCCCCGTACGACCAAGCTTTGGAATTCCTTCCCTGACAAGTGTTTCCCACCAACCTACAATCTACAGGCTTTCAAATCAAACGTTCATCGCCATCTCTTGACATCTCCATGTTTCTCTCATATTTCTAGTTCAATGCCGAGAAGTGGTCGTATAGGCCTTGAACTGAACCACTCCGTTAAAAATAGAGATATATTCTCTAGAGATATACTCCTGATACTGCTTTCTATATTGCCATAGACTTCATAGGTTGTGTTGGCAATTACGTCGATGAAGGATAGACATCCAAGTAATAAGATACGCCAAAGAACAGTTACTCAAGCAACTGGATATGCTTTTGTATACGGTCAGACGTTTCAGGTAGAATCCACTATCTTTTAAAACAATTGAGCCTTGAGCGCTATTTGTGTTTTCTTTTTATTTTCCGTTCCGGTAAACAACCCGACCGGGCCCTGCTTGGTAATCTGACCTAAGTATTATGCTGAAATAGTAAGCAGTTTTCAAGCCCAATACTGGTAAGGCCACACCGACTTAATTTTATGGATGACATCCGCGAAATCCATTGATTTTTGCCTGTTCCGCAAATTCCACAAAAAGTCAGCATGTGCCGGCTTGTCGTATACGTCGCTATGTACTGCCTCAAATTCACAATACCAGCTTTGTATTCCTGTGGTTTAGTAGCATTTTTATTTTTGGTCGGAATTTTTTTTATTCGCCCGCGCGCACTATATACTACTAGTTTGGGGGTCTTCAGGGGATGTCATCCATGAAATTAAGACGGTGTTCATTACACCATAAATATCGACGTGTTTAAGCATACTCGTGTTCAATCATACTCGTCATCCGTATACGTTCTGTTCGGTTTTTTTACGTTTTAAATTTCTGCCTATTGGACCATGGCACGGCACCCTATGGTACTACGTGCAATGTATACCATATCATTGATCAACAGGTTGGGACGGGGAATCCTGATATTACTTTCTATGCTACCATAGACTTCATAGGTAGTCTTGGCAATTACGTCGATGAAGGTTACACATCCGCCATGCGATATAAGATACGCCAAAAAACGGTTACTCAAGCAACTGGATATGCTTTTGGAAACGTTAACGGTCAGACGTTTCAGGTAGAATTCACTACCTTTTGTAGGTGACACTAAGAAACTGCAGGCTGTCTTGGCAATTCCCACCGGCCGGGCAAATCGTGGGAACGAAATGTATAATAGACAACAAAACACAAATAATTTTTAAACAACTAAGCCTTGAGAAATATTTGTGTATATTTTTATATAAGTTGTTTATTTTTCGTTCGGGTAAACAACCCGACTGGGCCCCGGCTTGGTAATCTGACCTAAATATTATGCTGAAATTGTAAGCGTCATCTGTTTAATTTTTCCACTAGGACCATCGTACGGCTCCCCATGGTACTCCGTACGTGCCATGTATACCATTTCATTGATCAACAGGTTGGGACGGGGAATCCAGCCGGACGAATGATATGACCGATGCTTCTTACAGAATCCATCAACGTAATCAGGACAACCAGGCAACACTAAGGCGTTTAGCGGTGCACACCCCTGTTCTTCCGCGCCCGTGGCCGGTGGTAGTCAGTGGTAAAAAAAAGTGACGAAAGGGTTTTGAGGGTCCAAGTTTGAGTGACATTTCTCATAAACTGCCGCGAAATATTATTAAACATTAACATGGCTGAAGAGTGTAAAAAATTGTGATTTTGGGGTAAAAAATTCTTTTGGCTACGAACCTTACTTCCGGGTAATCCTCCGAGCTAAGTGCAATCCGCCCGTTTGACCTAGATTTTGCTCCGCGCCTTCCTCAGAGTCGATTTGTCGATTCAGTACTACAAATAGAATTTACTCGGGTATAGCCAAGGTTTGGGTCTTTCTGCCAGCATCGATCATTTCTGCCGGAAATTTGTTGTTTCTATGGGATTATCCTACGCGAAAATTCGCAATTTTGTACATTAATTTTGGGGTGAAAATAATGTTTTTTTCGTTGATTTTACCAAACTTAAAAAAGTTGAAGAAACCAAACTCAGCTTGTTTTGTAGCTGAAAAGATATCCTTTCGTCCCATATACAGTTCTCCTTCCGAATTATTCCACGGCAAAGACGGTCGCTAGATTTGATTGGCCCAGTTACATTTCGTTAGAAACAATGCTCTGTATATTGTCCCTGACCCTGTTTAGAAAAAAAATCACTTGTTCTATTTACAATTTGTTAACAGACAATTTACCGGGAACTGGGACAAAATAACATCGGACGATGTTTTTTGACCAATCACTATCGCGGACGCGTGCTTGCTGTCCGGAAATGTGTATAATATGTTGAATTATTAAGGACATTGTAACGTCTATGGAGACTTGTTTTAACTGGCAACAAAAGCAGGAGGGGTCCTTCACCTCACTAAGGTGAAAATGAATACCTAGCTTTGGTTAGGGACGTCCCTCGGATATAGGACGTGAAAGGTAATCTCCAAGCAGATCCCTCTCGGTGGCAAAAAGACAGTATCAAATTGGCCAGGCAGTAAACATTGGCCAGAGAAGGTCGCCAGCCACGGGTAGGGGGGCGGACGGGTATGGTGGTTGGTCGTAGCGACAAAAAAAAACCGGCCATATACATGTATAAAAAGGTAACGATCATT